TTTTCACACTTACACTTTTCAAACAAACTTTCAAAACAGCTTCGTCAAGGACTGATACAAGGGTTATCACGAAGTCAAATTTTTCAAAAAATAAAGCACACACACAAGAAATTTAAAAATGAGCAAGTACCTAAGAGCCCATGGAAAACCATGGATAGAAAGGGTGCTAACACCTTCCCTTTCTATAATCTACCCCCCCCCCCCCCCCCCCCCCCCCCCCCCGTACTCAGAATATCTCGAAAAAGGATTTTTTTGTACTTTTTTCCTTTCTGGTTGGATAAAATAAAAGTCGGTGGCGACTCTTGCTTACTGCGACATTTTGCGAACACAAAATGCAAAACGGAAACCAGTATTAAACTGTCGGTTCTGCCACCGTATCACAGTGTTCAATTCTCTTCCACCTTCAGATCCTGAAAGGCGAGCATGTCAATCTAACTCTTCAAGTTTAAGAAGATTGAACATGGGCAGATGTTGTACCCCAAAATTTTCCCTCATATTTTTCAAAGATAAATTGATTCAAAGTATTCAAGACTACTCAAAGATTAATCTGATGAATCCTCCTCCTAAGCAGTGGTCTACAACTAGGATTTTGGTATTCTCAAGGAAAATGAAACTTTTAATGTCTCAAATGAGTGAAAATCAATTGTATTGGACAAAAAGTCAATTGTGGTCAACATATAGTCAAACTTCAAGAATTTTGGTCAACATTAATATTTTGAACTCACGGTCATCATTTGACCAAAGGTTGATCATGATTCATCAAAAGTCAAAAGTTGCTAAATTAGGATTTTCTTTAGGAGAAGTCAACTAAACTTTGACCAAGCATAACTTTCACATGCTTTATCAGATTTTTCTCAAAAAATGTTAATATTGAAGGAAATTCAATTCTCTACAACTTTGTCTCTCTAAGCTCAAGTCCAAAAATGCTTCATTTTAGAGATATGGGTCAAAACATTACAGGTCATTTTAAAAGTCAATAAAAAAGGCACTTTTTTAAAAAGTAATTCACATCAAGATAAAGTCTTCAAATGGAAAAATGATCCACATAGATATTATAGGGGGGCACCTTGAGGTTTCTAAAAAGTCTAATATCACCTTCATATGATAAAAATTGAGAGAGTTATGATTAGTGCAAGTTAGGAAATTTTGAGAAAATGCATGAAACCCAAATTGAGCAAACTTGAAGTTTTGGACTAATGGGCCTAACTTTTAGAGTCCAAACGTGCTCTTGACCTCATAATTGACCTCTCAATCTATTCATACACCCTTTTAATTTTTTATTTCATTTATTTTGATTTTATTCATTTAAAATCAAAATTAAATCAAATAAATATCAAAAGGAGGTGTGAGGCATAAAAGGATTTTGGTTTCAAATCTTTTGGAGGCCCAAGATTGCATGAGAAATCGTGTGAAGCTTTTTTGCAAAACAAATCTTCATATTTTGTCTTATTCCAAGTTATTTTCAAACAAGAATCAAAGATTGTTTTGCACAAGGTCCAAGCCCATTCTTCTTGACCTAATCTCTTCCTATATATATATATATATATATATATATATATATATATATATATATATATATATATATATATATATATATATATATATATATATATATATATATATATATATATATATATATATATATATATATATATATATATATATATATATATATATATATATATATATATATATATATATATATATATATATATATATATATATATATATATATATATATATATATATATATATATATATATATATATGCTCATTATCTTCAGACAAAGAACAACAAAAAAAACCTTGCAAGAACACCCACTCAAAACCTCAAATTTTGTGAAACTAGGACAAACTTGAAACCTCTCATATAGTCACTTTCCAAGCAAATCAGCCGCCCAAATCGACTCCCGATGTGCTATAGAGTAAGTATTGATCATCCTTAATGATCAAAGAGGCCTGAAACACGCATCCCGTGCATCACTGGTTTCCTTATTTTTTAGAATTCAGTGTTTCAATTTCTATGATGTTTTGATTGAAACTAACCATGCTAATGTGTTCTTGAGATGCAATAGAACATGTTTGAACCATCGCATGAGTCCCATGATGCTAAAATCATGCATCATCGTGTTTATGTCATTTTGGATTATTTTGATTATATCTTATTGTGCAGGATGTTTTAGTCAAAACTAAGACCACCAATGAGTTTGCAGCCCTCAAATTAAGGGAGTAGGGTTCTATTTGATCACTAACACGCTTTGTTTTGCAGGTTTAGAAAACGTACTCACCGGAGAAGACGACCGGAGTTAGGGTTCTGGCGCTTCTCCAGCCCATCTGTTTTGTTTCATATTATATTTATTTTGTTTTGGGTTATTAACGGATGAAACACCCACTCCAGTGACAAGAACGCGTACGCTAAGGCTTTGATATACAAGGGCGTGGGTTCGACCCCTGCTCTCTGCATCTTTTATTTATTAATTTCACAATTTCTGCAGGTTTCATATATTATGCATTGCGCCTATTCTCTATCACCAACCAGTACTTGGTCTGGTGGCAAGTTGTGCAACTCTGAAGCCAGAGGGCGTGGGTTCAACACCCACCCCATGCATTTTTTTTCCTTTTTTTTTCACCTTATTTTCATTAATTTTCCTTCCATTAACCCTAATTTATTCTAATTAACTTAAAAATCAACCCTTTTTTTAATCCTAATTAATTAGATTTAGGTTTTTTAATTAACATTTAATTCTCTTGTTTTAATTAATTTAATTAACCATTATTTCTTATAATAAAATTAATTAGACTTTAGATTTTTTTTATTAAAATTAATTAGACTTAGGGTTTTAATTATTTAGCTAACATCAAACTAATTTCATGAAAAAATCACATTTAAATATTTTTCAACATTTCTTTATTTATTTTACATTTAAATTCTTAGAGAAATTGTATAGGTCGCACGACTTTTTCTTGTAATAGTTTAGATTTATCTTGCCGCATTTTTTCTATTATGTAACTGCTTGTGGGATGTAATAGTCTAGGGTTTAAATTCCGCACTTTACTCTCCCGCATTCTTTATGTAACTGCCCCCAAAGCCTTGTAATAGCGTAGGATTTACTTTTCGCACCTCTAATCATGTACATATTTAACTACTAGTAATTAGGGCATGTATGGCAAGATCTAAAATCAATCGATAGAAAACTCTAATTCTCAATATAAATATAACTGAACTGAACACACTTTACACACTTTGCACCTCTAGAGTAACCTCTCTTTGTTGCCTTCGGAAATTTGGTCATGTCCCTCGAAAGTGGGGATATTTTAGCGAAGTCCCTTCGAATAAAGATCATAATTCCTCGATGACCATTCGGCGTTGCCTACGAAAAATGATCTAGTCTCTCCGATATAAATTACTAAAGTATTCTTACATGTTGCCTTCGATGACCATTCGATGACCCTTCGTCTGTCCCTTCACATCCAATACATAGGGCTACCTATCAACTAATGGTATGGATAGCACTATCTCTAAAGAAGAAGGAAAAGAATAAGAATTACCTTAAGTGGGTAAAAACTTTTAATTGCTTGCTCAGAATCTTTTCTAAAAAAACATCTTTTACACATCACACTTTCAAAATATTTTCAAACACTTTGTACGCATTCTTGAAGACTGATACAAGAATCATTACAAAGTTAGCCGTACTTTGGCTTTTCAAAATATTTTCAAATCACATACACGCAAAACAAATTTTCAAAAGTGAGCTAGCGAGTAAGAGCTCGTAGATAACTACGGGTGAAAAGGGTGCTAACATCTTCCCTTTTCATAACTTATCCTCCGGGTTTAAAATCTATCAAGGTTTTTCCTGTTCTTTTCACCCTTTTCTTATTGGATAAAAAAAAAGTCGGTGGCGACTCTAACTATCTGCACATTTTTAGATAAAACCAAAAAAATCAATTCTTCCACCTTATTACACTTGGTAAATAGACTAAAGTGTTGTTCAAATTTATAAAGAATACATAGTCCTCGTATTCCAATTCAACAAAAAAATATATAACCCCCTCGTTCCATCAAAATATGATTACGAGAATATCTTACATATTAAAGTTTATCAATACATGATTCTTTTTCTTGTAAGCTCATCAATAGATAAAAGATTGTCAATATAAAAAACATTTGCATATAAAATAGTTGGTTCTCTATAATCTAAAGAAAAAGCAACACTTAAATATGAGTAATCTTCAAATTAAAATCTCAAGTCCATGCAGACAAACGCAAAAACAAGAGCTTAACATTTTATATCCCTACAACTCCAAATTTTATTGAGATTTTACCGTAATTTAAATGAAAATTCAAATTCAAAATAGCCATGTCTCAAAAAAAATTTAATCCTTTTTGATATTTCGATGTCTCCCAAGTAAATTATTCATGCAAGATTATCTTAATAGAGAGATGGCTACCTCTCAAGTATGGCTTGCCAAATGATTTTTTGTGCATGGAGACAAAGTAGTCGTTTGAAGAACTGACCATAAAAGGTCTCAAATGCCAGTGGTCAACACCAGAAGAGCCTATACAAATTAAATTTTCTTTCAATCCCCTATCAGAACAATAATTTTCTTAAACACTTTTCTCAAACTTATTGATCATATCAGCATGTATAATAATTTTCTTACAATTTGAGAAAATCTTGAAATAAATAACAATCTTAAATTATCACAATTTTAACAGAATTACACTTAATTGTTTATAAGATCACAAAATCATATATATTAGCAATTTATATAAATTCAAATATCTATTAACATATTACATCAAAAGCATTCTGCTACAGACAACCATATCATCTTTTTACAGGAGCATATCTTGCTCATTACATCAAAAGCATTGCTTAAGACAACCATATCCACTAATCTTTACAGGAACCTACGATACAGCTTACAACTTTACACACTCCTATGTACAGACAGATACGTGTGTAATATTATTCATGTAATTAACAAATAATTTATGTTCATATGTTGTCAGTCAAATATTTATACCATGGCCCATGAACACCAACTGATACAGTTGCTGCCACAATCAAAACACGAGCAGCTTCCACTACCCTTTCAGTCAGAGCACCAGCCCCAACTTTCAGTAGTGCCATTTCAGCTAATTTCTTCCCTCGAGCACCGGTTCCACCGAGCACAACTCCACGCAAAGCTGAATAGACGGCGTTAAACACTCTCTCAAACACAGCATCCCCAGCTTGTAAACTCTTCCCTAGCATTCTGGCAGCAACTGCTTTTCTTGACTGAACCTTCCCTGCATCTTCTTCCCCGTTAACTGATGGAAGATTGCAAATCACTCCAACAATATCATCAATACCAGCATCTTCAACATGGTCTAAGAGCTCCAAGAGCTGTTCTGCACACTTGGACACTGCATTTTCCATATCTGCAGAGCTTGCTACTGCCTTTTCACTCAGAATAATCTGACGACATATAAGAACACTGCAATGCCCAAAATATTGAAAATATTCAGTAAAGACATTTCGACTGTTTCTTGACACAAATAATCACGCTATTTACCTTGTAGAAATCACAATAATCTTCTGAATTTGAGCCTGGAGAGACCTCAGCCTGGAGAAGTTAAGAGATAAAGTTTCTGGTAGATCATCTTGTGTTAGACCAGATATTCCACTTACTAGTTTTAGTAAACCAAGCCTCACAACAAGGTCAACTGGTTCTCCTTTGCATTCTGATTGCTGATCACCTGATCAAAAAAATGATAGCCGGTATCAAAATAAGTGTGCCTGGAAGTATGTAACAGCTAACTGGAGAATCAGAAATTAAGGTTGGTCAAAATAGAAAACCTTTAGTATTTGAACTATCAGGAGAAAAGACCATTGGACTTCCAGTACTTTTGAGCATAATATTTCCCCCAGTTCTGAGAGTAGTTGAAGGAAGCCCTTCTTGGGATGAATTATCAGCCAATGCTGAGGAGGTATTCTTATATTCTACCCATTCCTGGTCTTTAAAATTCAAAGTAGATGAAATCCATCTGAGCGTTGAAGGAAGACAGGTACTGGCACCAGATGGAGATCCATATTTATTTGCAAAAGCATTCCTAAGGTACTCCAGACCAGCAGGTCCCTTAACCAAAGGCTCCATTAATCTTATCCGTGCTTTGCTTATCTCTTTCTTAAGAATCTGTCAAAATAATTTATCTTGTCACATAACATACAACCAGAGTAAAACAAGTCTTAAAAAGCAAGAAGTGGTGCAGTTTACTCATTAAGTTTTACAGTGTGACACAAACATGGCAAGTTTCATGAAAAGCAGTACTGATATATGTGATACATCTAGCAGCTAACATTATGTGAAAGTAGTAATCAACAAGTGAAAGGAAAAACAAAACTGAACATATGATCAAATAAAGAGAACCAAATAAAGGAATGTTAAGCAGACACACCTGAATCTGTTCTAGGACAAATTGCAAACCCTTAACCAAGGCTCCAACACACGCATTGTTTGATTCATCTCTAGATTGGCATATTTCACTCAACTCGCAGAGTAGTGCCTTGTGTTGGGCCTTTATTATCTTCTCATTGGCTGGAGCAGAAAGCTTCTGCAAACTGACTAGCGAAAACTCAAGAATTTTTCCAAGGTAATCGACATCCAGTTTACCTGATTTAAGCACCTTTAAATACAAAGAAGACATATATGATAAAAAATCAGAAAACAACAACTATAGTTAGGTATATATTCCAAATCCAATGATGTGTCTTAACAGGCTTGTGAAAATAATATAGCTGCTACCTGAGAAAGAATATCTAAATCAATGGCTGCAATAATATCATCCTTCCAGCTTATTGGAGCCATCTCACAAATTTCATCCCTAACCTCTTCCATGAGTTGAATGATCTGGTCATAGTTGGGCTGATCCTGCTTAACAGATTCCATAACACTATCCCAAAAAGCCTTCTCCATTGTCTGTTTGATTTTTCCCTGCCAGGTTAAAGAGTGAATGGGAATTTAAAATCAAAACATTTCAGCAGTAAACACCAAAAGGATTGATTCAATATTACAAAAGTATCTTAGTAGGAGGGGTAACATTAACAGCAGATCAAAACATCAACGCCTCAGGCAAAACCAAATTATTGAACCGTAATCCAAAATCAACCTTCAGTTAAATGGTAGTAACAAATTTACAAAGATGTAGTTACCTCGATGCTGTTTTGAATGTGATCAGAGACATCAAAGCCATCAGCAAAACTATGGTGATGTTCATGGAGAAATTCATTCACAAGAACCTCGTTTGGTGCTACCAAATTTCCAGAGGAGTTAGTACTGGGCTGAGTACTTGAACTGGTAATAGGTGAAGAGAAGCTTGACTCTATAGGGGAAGTGTCAGTTTCCTTAAAAAGGGAGCGAACCACCCGGCTTGTCAAATTGCTCTCATTTGAAATATTTCTTTCACTTGAGCTTGCAACAGTAGAAAGTGGAGTTGGGCTTGGAGACATGTATTGAGTCATTGGAGACCCCACTGGGCTTCCGCCATCCCTTACTCTTGAGTATCTAGATCTTGTTTCAGATAGTGCACTTTCCATGCGCTGAATCCCAGCATCTCCACTCAGGTGCATCACCTTTTCTCTCAAAAGTTTTTGATCTTCAGTGACCTGTATTGTAAAACATAGAAAATAGGATTAAGCCAAAGGATACTCTATTTTAACAATAATAAAGCAGTTAAGGGAAGAAAACCCAAAAATAACAGTCCATACTTTTCAGGATTAAAATGTAACCGAGCAAAGAAAATATTGTAGAAGGGGGAATTTTACTAAACAAAAAAAAAAACAAATCAATCAATCTTACCAATCAGCTTTTGAGGTCATTGATGTTCAATGAACATTACAAGTTCAACAATAATAGCTACCACTCAAAAGGAACTCATAACCATTGACATGGAAAATTACCTGGTGCTGAATAGCTTTCATATCATGACTGATACCAACTCCTTCTGGAGTTAACTTGCAAGTTTGAATCATAGAAGCCTCAAGCTGGCAAGCAGCTCTAACCAAATCCTCCTCCAAAGAACGAGCATCTTTAACTTTCCAGACCACAAAACAATTCAAATACGAGCACCATGCTTTATCAAAAGCAGCAAGCTGCGATCTGAAAGTACATCGCTTCTTAACAGCTGAGACCGATTCTTCATCAGAACTTTTTATTGGCCCCTCTAATATAATTTTTATCAACAGATCAAACATTTTGACAAATTCATGAGCAGACTTGGCTAAAGCAATCTCACGTTCTCCCATTGTACTGAAAACTGCATCTGGATGACCCAGTATCATATAAGCACAAAGAACAACTCTCACTTGATACCTTGATAACATAGATAAGCTATTGTTTGAGTTCTTGACTGAATCTGCTTTTTTTGCCGGGCTTCTCGCAGTACTCCTAGGAGTAGCCCTTTTCTTGGGGGAAACAACCCGCTTAAGAAGGTGATCGATGTTATCCAAGCTAGAAAAATAACTGGCAGGCACAACAGTTGTAAGCACTCTGAGACGGCTCTCAAACCGGTCAATTAAAGTTTTCACAGTCTGAAGAGTAGAAGCTGATTCAATAAGAGCAGCAAACTGCTCAAATGGCAATGACTTGACAGATTTCTCGTTGATCCCCAGCACGGCATATGCCTTCGTCAAGGTAAAGGTAGTTCTATTCTGCCTCAAGAACCGCCTCCAGCACCTTCAGGAAGTAAATAGTCAAAATAAGTCATATAATAATATCCAATAAAAGAAGTTCGATACACCTAAGTATAATTTTGAAGGGTACAAGTTTTGCCTGACAGATGGAAAAAAAAAACATTGCAAACAATATTAAGGACTTCTGTCCAATATGACTACAATTGAATAAAGCAGTGAAATTAGATTTAAAATGCAAACAACCTTGCCAGTTTTCTGGAAAGATATTCTGCCTGTGGTGACATTCTAATCCAATTCTCGTACGTATAACCACGCAATCTTCCCCTGTGCCTGAGATATTCGGCTCTTTGGCTTTTTGCCTGCTCAATGTAAATTTGGAGACTTGGTTAAAAATAGCACCACACTAAGGCCATCATGTAACATCTGAAATTTTTGAAGCAGTGAAAATGAACCCAAAAAAACAAAAAAAAAACACCATACCCTTTGTAACCGATCTTCCAACTCATCCTTCTTTTTCCTTCTCTCAATCTCACGCTGGTGCGATACAGACTTTGCCACATGTCTTGCCTGCAAGAATTGTGCGTGTGCCCGCTTCTTCTCAGTTTCAAGCAACCGGAGTCGTTTTGTTTCAGCAGCAGCTCGTTTTTGGTAAATTGCAGCACGCACACGCTCCTTATATTTGCTCTCTCGAGTCATTCTCCTCATCAATGACTGAGATGACCTTTCTCTAAGAGACGCCCTTCTTTGCCTGTGAGCCTTAAGGATAAGCATCCTATTAGCCTCTGCCTGCTGAACACGCGATTCCACTTTCGTCCCAAGCTTTACACGTTCATTTGCATGGCGCATTTCAACTCCATTTTTCGCTGCTTGACGCAGTTGATCTTGCCTCGCTAAGCGCATTTGGGCCTTTGTCAAAAGGCTCAACCTGTTAGAAAGAGATCTTACCTAATTAGTTTCTTTTATCAAACAAACATAACTGACTAGTGAATTCTGATAAAGAAAAGGACTGACAATCAAATACCATCTACGTTACCAAAAAAATAACCATTCTATAATCAGGTAAGAAACATATAACTGGTTTTCATAATTATGTTTTAACATAAGTGAACATAAAAAATTGGGATTTTTTTTTTGTTTATGGTTTCAGTGTATTTATTAAATCTGTGTAAGAGTATGACATTAAAAAATAGGTGAGACAACGACAGAGATAGAGGTATATGGTGTTGTCACATGAGGTGTCTAAAAGTTGGGAATTTCCAAACCACAACCCGGATAATAATATGCTGACAGTTCAAACTTAGAATTCTAAAAAAAAAAAAAAACTAGTACATGTTTAAGACACAACAGAAAACCCAAGCATTCAACCTAAAGGAAACCCACCTCTTCTGTTCAGCTGCTTGCAATTTTGCTTCTAGTCGCTGACCAAGATCCTCATCCTGAGATGAACACCTTGACGGGCTTCTTGGCTTTGCACGTGCCTTGCTTGAGAGTTTCTCATAGTACTTCTGCAGTTAAAAAAAAAAAAAAAACTTATCAATTATTACATGAGTACAAGGGAAAACAAAACTTGAAAAAGAAAAAAAAAAGAATTTTTTCCTTAGAAGAGAAGAAAGTATCAATATGCCCAAATGAAAAAGGAAGGACTTTAGAATATTATTGACTCATTCATGAAGAAACAAAACAAATAAAAATATGTTATATTACTAACTAAAGAACAAAATAAAAGATTAAAAGCTTGCAATTTTAATAGATGGATACAATAAAAACTATGTATGATAAAAAAAAAAAAAATTCCCCAAATAGAGATTAATCTGTTTTGTGGTTGAAAATCAAAGTTATTACAAGTGTTTGCTATGTATGAACGAAAACAGAAAATAAATTGAATATTAAACTTGAAATCCCTTAACTTTCTCATCATCAAACAGTTTAGAAAAATAGAATCGTAAAAACACCTGTCTACGAATTTCAGCATCACGAAGCTTGGCTTCGATTTCCTCCACGGAACTCGGTGACTTACACTCCGTATCAAGAAGCCTTCGCCGGAGCCTCTTCGGTAATCTCACCGGTGATGAGAGAGATTCATCATCACCGACCGGAAATTCCATCACAATTCCGATTTTCCCCTCCGATAATTCAACTCCGGCGGCCATACTTCAACAACACGATATACTAACGATCAACAGTCAATACGTAACGGAGCGACGGCGATGAATTTCTACAAACGACGCCGTACCGTACCGTACGAACGGAAAAATAACAATCGCAACGATAAAAAAATTGAAAAATTGAAAAAGAAAATTGAAATCTGTGATTTATATAAAGAGAGAAGAGGAAATTTGAATTTGAATTTGAGAAGATGATTCAGAAGAGAAACGTTGCGACGAGTTAAAGAGTTTCGTGTTTGATTTTGAGATTCTAGAGAGAGAAAGTAGGTAGAGAGAGAGAGTTTTTGTACGAAATGGAAAAGAAGAAGGACGTGTTTGGGTTTATAATAACGAATGGGTTTATAATTTTGTAAAGCGTGTACTAGCGTTAAACACTGTCATTAATAAAGAGAATTAAGACACGATAGTATTTGACACGTCAGCATATACATCACAACGGCACTCTCTCTTTATTTTTGTTTTACTTCACGATAATGCCCTTGAGAGAGTTTTTTTTTTTACTTTATTACCCTCTTGGTTGGTCCTATCTTTATCTACTACCTTCTCGATTTGACATTACCTTTTATTTTTTTCTTTTACGTGAATTTCTGTTTTTATTTTCATTTTTATAAAATCAAAAATGTATGGTAGATAAATGACGATGAAAACTATAGTATTGGCAGGTATATTTCCTTTTCCATATCTAAAATAAAGTCTTTCTTTTATACCTAGCTTTTGATATGGGTTTTGCGGTGATTCCAATTTTAATTTATGAAATTATGTTCTTAAATTAAACTATTTTATTTATAAAGGTTTAGTAGGTTTTCAAAACTATACGTGTTTCGGTATAAGTTTAATTCATATTCCTTTTGAGACACTTGTTAGACTCTTGATGTACTGAATTTTATGAATGTAGACTATGCATCACTTGAACTTGGACTAAATATCCACATATATACATTATATAAAGAAAATGTAAATATATTTAAGAAAGGAAATATCACTAATAGTAATGGTATTATACAATATTTTATCGTGCTAATATAATTTAAGAATTTCTATACTAGTGTGTAACATGCGACAGATATACAATGAATAGCTTATATTAGATTAATTGGCATGTACTAAAATTATCATCCATGTATTACAATTATTAGATGATATTTTAAATGTGATATTTCAAACACATATTAAAATTTCACGATTATAATTAATTGATAATATAAATATCTTTATAATTAAATCTTTGAAAAATTACAATGCAATATAATTTATTTATAAAAACAACTAATTTGATGCTTTTCAAAATCCTAACAATATTGACTTCACTTTAAAGTTTATTATTTATTATAAATAACACTTTGCACCAACATTTTTTAACTTTAAATAATTAGAGTTAACTATGATACAATATCGCGTACAACAATTTTGTATCTGTTTGGTTAACACTATTTTTTTTAAACGTGTCATTAATAAGAGAGTTGAATTTAATTGACACTAATTTGATATTAAATAAAAAGTTAAGTTTAATATATCTTATTATTTTTTAACTTAATTTAAAATTTTATTTCGGTTTATTAGATAATAAATATTACTATTTAGTCCCTCAAATACGATTCTGTTAGATGATTTGATAATTTCTATTAAATTTTGAGAAAAAAATATTAAATATATATATATATATATATATATATATATATATATATATATATATATATATATATATATATAAAACAATCTAGTTGGTATAATATAATCAGACATTGTTTTTCTATTTCTTTTCGAGTTACTATTATTTGGGAAACAACAAAAGAGACCAACAATGGACCCTAAATTTTCGTAAACACAAACAGCAAATAAATATTCATTTTCAATCATCATCTTCATTTTTTAAAGGGTCGTTGACACAAATTTTATCTATTTTTATTTGAATCCAAATTTCTTCCATCCACTCTAATAAAGTTTGTCCAATTTCACTTTTCCACCATCTTGATTATGTTATAAATTTGAAGGAGTTTTATTCTCACGACGATATCACAACAAAGCTCTCTTTAAAATAACACTCCAATAAAATATAGTTAAAATTAATTATCACTCCAATAAAATATAGTTAAAATTAATTATCACGTTATGGTTAACTCAAGAAATTCAAAATTCGTATGGGGTTATTTGCAGGTCAAACTTTAATTCACATATCAAACTCTCTTGTTGATTCATAAAGAATAGAGTAACACTGACATAAGTGAAAAAATTCAAAAATAACAAGGACCTTTTTGTCTTTTTACAATAAAATAAGGGGTTTTATGTGCTTTTACAATTAGAAATAAGGGCTTTCTTGTCTATTTGGGTTTTGTTATACTCCAAAATTTGCCTTCTAGTTTCTCAAAGGATCATCATGGACCCTCAGGTTTGCTTCTATCAAGTTTCAAGTCTTGAATTACAATTTTCCAAGAAAAATCATTCACAAGGGTAAAATGGTCAAAAAATACACTAGAAAGTCAAACTTTGACTTTTGGATCAAAAGTTAAGTTTCAACAATTATATTTCATCAAGACATGAAATTGGTTCATCAAAAAAATCAGAAGTCAGAAATTAATTTGAAAAATCAAATTTCTAAACATTTAGAAAATTTTCCAAGTGTTAAGAGAATATGATACTTCAGAACTTCTGGGTCAGCCTTCATACAAGTGCAATCAGAATTTACAAATATGGTTCAGAACATGACTCATCAATCAGAACGTGACTCTTCAGCATATGGAGGCTATGTTTTATGCTCGATCAGAGCCTCGCCCTTCAGAGTCTCACCCTTCGAATCTCACTCTGGTCTTCTGCGACCAGAACATTACCAAATCCCAAAACCTCGTTTGAGAAACCTGCTGCACTGGTGTAGTACAGTCCTGCCACCAACTGCCACAACACTCCAAGATGTTGCTGATCCAATCCACGCCTGCGTTTTTCTCAAACCCCATAATTGCACCAAATTAGCATGCAAAAACTTTGTTTAAAAAACAATGGAATAGTATGCCAAAAAGGTTAAAAATCTCATTTGTTTTCCCCTCAAAACCACAGCAAACTCATATATAAATAAGTTGCTCCATCACACGTTCAAGGGGCTGGCTTTTTGAGAGAGAGAGAGAGAGAGAGAGAGAGAGAGAGAGAGAGAGAGAGAGAGAGAGAGAGAGAGAGAGAGAGAGAGAGAGAGAGAATTATCAAAGAGAGAATAGGAAATAGTAAAAACCTTCGCAAATCCTAAACAAAACCTTTGTTCTTCCCTTTGAATCAAAGAATATAACCATTGTTCTATTGCTCTCATTGACTTCAGAGCATCTGAAGGCAGCAACTCAAGTTCCAAGCACATGCTCCAGATTCAAGGTAGGTCTTTCTGACTTTGCATCTTTTCATTTAGAATATCATTAAATATGTAAATATCATAGTATTGATGTTGTCCATATCATTTCATAAGTAGAAAAAAACTATGGACCATAACTTCTTGAATAAAGTTAGGCTCAGAATTAGAATTAGAAATTCTATAAACTGTTGTGCTTTTATCCTTTTGATTTGCTGTTAAGAACTGAATAAATTGTTGATATGTTAATTAATATGAGGAAAGAGTTGAAATGTAACACATAACTTCTGATTTTCTCTTTACTGTTTTAACATAAAAACTTCTAGGATTTCTTATTGTTTCAACACAGAACTTCAGATTTTCACTCATTGTTTAGCACAACACAGAACTTCTGAGTTTTACTCACTGCTAACACAACCCAGAACTTCTGAATTTTCACCCACTGTTTAACACGATACAGAACTTCTGACATTTTGCTCACTGTCTAAACACCACCCAAAACCTCTGTTTTCTTTCCCTCTAACGTTTCTTGCAAGACCTCAGAGTGTATCAATCCAGAAACTTCTGATTTCTACTGACGTTTCTTTCTGAGTTACAGTGCGCCTGTCATCAGAACTTCTAATCCCTTTTGTTTTGCTTGCAGCAGCACGCTGATTCTATCTCTCATTATTTTCCCCTTTTATCATTTTCAATATCAATACTCTCCTTCTTATTAATATAAAAAAGACATAAAAATATTTCTTTTTTATTAATTAATTAATTTTTTTTTTATTTATTCATTAAGACAAAAAACCACTTTCAAAATATGTCATTTTCTTCTTATATTGTACATTTCCATATGGTTGTAATATTTAAATATGATTTAAATTCTTGCAACCCCCCATTTGTAAATTTGTGCCCCCATCCCTAAATTATGTAATAGCGTAGGACCTTTACATTTTCGCAATTTATTATTTTCAAGTATAAATGCTAGTAATTAGGGCGTGTATGATAATACATAAAATCAACAAATAGATAATCCTAATCAAGACGAAATGCATGTAAATCAAACACACTTACACACTAGCACCCTTGGGGTAATCCCGCTTTGTTGCCTTTCAGAAAATAGTCATGTCCCTCGAATATGGGCGTTTTAGCAAAGACCCTCGATAAAAGATCGTAGTCCCTCGATGACCCTCAATGTTACCTTCAGTAAACGATCTCGTCCCTAAACGACATTGTTAAAACGTCTCATAGGTTGCCTTCTATGAATATACAAACGTCCCGCGCCCGTCCTTTCACATCCAATGATGGGGCTTCTTATCAAACCAATGGTAAGATAGAAACATCTAAAGGAGGAGGAAAAGAACATTTAAAACCTTTTGAGTAGGTAGGTTACTCTTAGTTACTCGCTTGCTCACAACAAAAACATTTTATACACCAACACTTCACTTTGAAACATTTTTCAAAAGACAAAAATACTTTGTACGCGTTCTTATAGAGACGAGAACCATTACAAAGACATTCTTTTACAAAACACTTTCAACACCCACATCACAAGCACATTCTCAAACAAAAGTAAGTGATCTAGCAAGCAACTAAGATCCCATAGATAACTACGGATGAAAAGGGTGCTAATACCTTCTCTTTTCATAATTTACCCCCCGAACTCAGAAAACAT